TACAGCTTCAAGTCCTCCTATCTTTTAGAAAAGATGCCATACAAAACAAAAGTTGGAAAAGAAGAGCTCATTATATTCAGGATATGTGTTTTATTTTTCATAATCCAGATACATAAAAAAAAAGGATGTTGGAAAACACCCATCCAAAAGCCAGCCACTAAAGCCAGGAAGGGCATAGAAGAGGGATGAAAGGTACAGTGATGTTAAATATCAGAAAAAAACAGGCTTTCCCCAACGCTATAGTGTCCTTTATGACTGAAAACGATACTTGTTGAAGACAAAAAATATCTTCGTGTTGGTGTTTTATGACTGACTAAAAGGATCCCTATGTTGAGAACATGGGAAACAGTCTGGAAAAAAACCATCGTCCACACAAAACTTGTTCACCTGTCTTGACGATGTTGTTCCTTTTAAAGGTTAATTCTATTCCAAGGAATAGAGACAGCCAGCATTGAGTTAGACAGCATTTCAGTAATGCTATTGTGAATATYTACATAAGCAGTTTTCATGGAAAAAGAGTCAACATTTTTCACAAGCATAGCAGGACATAGCAAACTCTTCCAAGAAAGAAGAAAAGACAAAAAAAAATCAGCATACTTAAAATGTTTTCAGTTGGCAAAATCAGAAGATAGCAACTTCAACTAACCCTCACTTTGTCTTTATGAACTACAGACAAACATTCTGTGATGTAGCATACAGCCTTGTACTGTGATCCACCAGACAAACTGCACATCCCTTCTTGACTGAGCATCTGTGGCACACTCAGAACTGTGCAGTCCTAACTAACTGGGATCTCAACAGACAGCTGGACAGTATCTGAATGAATGGAAAGCTCTGAAAGTGTTAGGAGATGTTTCTTTTACTATACCAGATGCAAACACTACTTAAATATGCACTGCTTTCAATTCAATGTAGTATTTAAACTAATGAATCCAAATGTGTAGGAAGACTATGGAAAAAGAAAAATTTGGTCTCATAATTCTTGCACTTCAGTCATTTTTCTTTCTTTCCCTCTCTCTTTCTTTCTTTTCTTTTCCAGCTTTTCCCTTATACTTTTGTCCTCCCCTTCCCAGCAATCTGTATTTACAATGTATAATAATAATCCATTTTGGTACAAATTAGATGCTCAGAGCTACAAGAAGCTGTTACATTTATGCAACACAAAACTGACAACACAAGGTCAATTGATAGCGTGGCCCAGACCCATAACTCACAGTCAGGTCATCCAGCCAAGGGAAATAAGGTATCCTGTTACAGCTACTATTTGAATCTAGCACCCACACAAAATAAAAACTGTAAATCTGTGTATCTTGCCACATGAAAGAAGTTTCTGATAGTAGCTTACTTGGTAAAAACATGTGCATGTTATTTTTGACACTGCATTAAATGAAGGCAAGAAAAGCAGTGATGTAACAGATTTAAAATCATTATAGAAGTATGGAAATAAATTAATGAAAATAATTCAGAGTTTGGATAGCTAGAGTTTGCTATGGACCAAATTAACTGGGATGGAACTCCTACCTTCTAATACATGCCATTCGTTTATCACCTCTCTTAACAAGGAGGACAACTTTCCATCTGTGGAAGGCCCCGGGAGCACTAGAGTTTGTCAGTTCTTCACGCCATCTTTTAGGTGCAGATTGCATTTGAGGTGAATAATGGGTGTCTCTTTCAATTTCATATCCCCATTCATACGTTGTTTCATCAAGCCATCTGCCACTTTCAGCACTATTAATTATGTACTCCTTAGTTAGTACCCACTTTCCTAAAAAGAAAATGAACTGTCAACCACAAAAGATTTTTTGTGCAGACAAATGGCAATCAACTGAAGAACTAATATAAATTAACTTAAACCTTTCTTGTGCAAATAAAAGCTGGAATTATAAGTACCATTTTAAAAACTTCTTCCTACTACACGAGTTCTCCACTTCAGACTTCAGAATCAAAAATCTCACAGTGCCATTGAAAATGATTTTCTTTTAGTGATGAAGTATTTTTTCCCCTTCCCAGATAAAACACCTGTCTATCTCCTCAAAAATCTCAATACATTTTTTTCAACATACCAGATTTGATTCTTAGGACTTTCACAGAGCCTTGGCAAGACCTTTATTTTTAATACCATTTGATACTTATACMAATGTACTAAAATTAAGATATATTTTACTACCTACGATTTTAAAGAAAAAATTAAATTTAATGTTTAAGCTCTTTCTCTTACATATTCTTACTACTACTTGCACTGCTAGTGTAGTGAATATCAATATTCGGGGACACAGTTTTAGACTTTTTTCTTTCTCCTTTCTTCTTTTCACATCCTTTTCTCTATCCCTTGGCCCCACCTCCTCCGCCTCTCTTTTTTCATCTTCTGCATGTATGCTTTTGATAGTGTGTAATGATCTTCCCCTTTTCTCTCTCTCTCTTCTTACAGGTTCAGGTCAAGAACAGTGGTTAGTACCCTGCTCCTGTATTGAAACACTACCTACAKAAGACACTGTAAGAGAAATTGACTTGTGCGAACCTAATTGGTTTCACTGAACAGCAGGGTTGACTGACAAAATGCCTCTGTGCAGGAGCACAGATGGTACTTCTACAAAACCTAGCATAGGTACCACTAGATTTATGACTGGAAAAGGTATGCTCTGCACAATCCGGATGTTAAAACCACTTTCATGTGAAGTTTCCATCTCAAAACTTTTGTCAGCTAGGAAGTACACGACACATGTTATCCTTGTTAGTATCTCTGCTGATCTCTATGGAGTTCTAAACGTGATCTTTCTTCATTACTTGGAAATGAAGGAATGAATGCACTTCTCTGCCATCAAGAGTAGGAGCAATGATTATGCAAAAATAACACTTCTTCAGGATTAAATTAGAAGGTATTGGAGAAGATCTGAAATTATAGAAACAGGACAGTGTTTTGCATTGCTCTGCAGACACTACATATACCACTTCCACTCTGTTCAAGAAAACAGAAAAATTTTAAATTCCAGAAAGTAAGAAAGCATTAACTCAAAGGTTTAAAATTAATAAAATGAAGCGCTCTGCCAGAAACCTATAGGCATTTTAATATTGTTTCCCTCATGGAAACTTTTGGTCGATTTCATTTTTGATAGGTTGCAATCAGAATTGATGTTAATACAAAGAGTCATACATGTACATATACATGTATATATACATATTCATATATATATATAAATAAATACATATTTATTTATACATACACCTCCTACTTTCTACSTGTGAGAGATGGTTGAAAATGCTTACTAATACAGTATGAAATAATTTACATATATCTTTAAACCCAAATGTATGTGTAGTTATTTCTGTCTATTATCCTTTAATTTAAGATTACCCATCCTAACAATTGCTTGGACACTTTGGTATAATATGACAAGGGGAAAATAAAGAACATGCTTAGAATTGGTATTGTGATATCTCATATCTACAAGATATTCTTACCTCATCATAGAATCCAGACAGGAAATCAGTCTATAAAGAAATCCTAAACCACAGAATTTTCATTCTAAAAGCATTTTAGTTGTTTGTATATGGGATTTCAGCATCAGGCCTTAGTTAGAGAGGAAAAACCAGAGGCTTGTGTCAGAATGGCAAAAGCTTGGACTTTTCTTCTGCTGCATAAACAGAAGCTYACAGAGAGTGACCTTTACCAGTGAATGTTCCACATGAATTTGTTATCAAAAATTCATACTGACTACAGGTGTTCATACTATCTCTGTCCTCTTTTAAGAGATCTATTTTTAAGCATCCAAATAATCTGAGCATGACTTCATGATCTGATATATCAAAAAGTTTTCTCTTTGGGAACAGAYGCAGGTCCAAAAACAGGAAATAGCAGAAATATAATTTAGAAAAAAGAAATTGAAACAAAAGAAAGGGAACTTCACTAACTTCAACATAATACTATGTTAAAAATCAAGGTTAATGGAATAAGAAAAAAAAGAGGGCTTTTAAGACAGTTCAATCACAAAATGAAAACAGATAACTAAAACGCTTTTAAGGATCCTTTTCAGAGGTATGCTATGATATTAAACAGCAAATCTTTTACTCACCAGCAGCACAGGCAGCTAAGACCTTTTCACTCTTGCACAGCTTTTTTGCTACAAGATGTGTACAATTTCTGTATTTCTAACAAAACAAAAAAAATACACTTGTATCACTGGAAATATTTAAATTCTTTATCTATACACAACTAATCTGTTGCACAGCTCTTTCTTGTAAGACTTGCATTTTTACTTCCTGATCTAACCCTCTTTACTGTATTTTAATGAACAGTACCTTACTCTCTATAAAAACACAGTTCAGCTTGAACAGCAATTTGAGCAGTGCCTTCTTCTCTTGTTTTTTGAATCCAGTGATCTGTATTATTCGTTTCTGGTTGCCATTTGCCATCTGCAGAAAGAGAGAACGAAAAGGAAACATTAACACACAAAACATACACCATGAAAAGTTGCTTGCAAGGCCTGACTAGTATTTTCTAGTTCTTTTCCAATAAAATGGGAAAACCCACAAAAAGGAATGARTGCTGGTACACCACATTTTAAGCTCATTCCCTGCCACATCAAAGACKCCTGAAAGGCGGTAACAGAGTAGCCGGAGACCCCCAAACTGCAGCCTGCAGTGGGCCGAGCCCCCCAGGCCTGGCATCCCGGTTCCGCACCCGTACGCCCGGAGGAGCAGCTTTCAGACGCCTGCTCCGCTSTCCGAAGTGCGGGGGCCTCTCACGGCCCCGCGGGGGAACCCCGCCGCCCCCATCGCAGGGACGCGCTACCGAGCTGAGGCGGGCTGGCGGCGGTCCCGCTCAGGAGGGGAAGAGCGAGCCCCCCGGCTGCGGCGGGGAGCACTCCAGGCTCACTTACGGAGGCCTTGGGAAGCGGGCGCCGTGCCGACGCCTCGGTCCGGTCCGGCCCGTCTCGGTGCCCGCCTGGCGCCTCAGCCCGGCGCTCCAGCCTTTCCCCGCCCCGCCCCCGGATGTGGCGGAGGGGCCGTTCCGGGACGTTGTTACTGACGCTCCGCGGTCGCCCGGGGCCGTCGGCGGGAGCMGTAGAGGGAGCCCGGCCGGGTAAGTGGCCCCGGTGGGGCTGCACTTTCTCCCCCTAACCGTGCGACCGGGCCTCGGCGCCGAGCGGGACAGGGCTGGGGTCCGCTGCGACCGCTCGCGGAGCGCCGGAGCTTTCCGGGGTTCTCTCCTGTGCGGCGCGGCAGGGCGCTGCACAGTCCCGGGGCTCCGCGGGCTCCAAGGCACTGCCGGGTGCTGGTACCTGCGCGGGAAGGCGCTGCCGATGTCTCTCTGAGGCGGCCACGGCGGCTCGGCGCTTCAGGCCTGGCTTCAGCACGGAGGGGAAGGGGCGGTCTTCCCTCAGAGCGAGGGGAGGGGATCSCCTTAAGTCCCGGGGAGGCGGGGGCGGACTGAGGGCGGGTGGCGGAGAGGGAGCTGGGAAACGCGCCGGTGCTGCCTCGGAATAGAGAAATTACCGACCCTGCTTCTCCCTAACTAGGAGTAGCTGCTGTTCATGACCTAACTGGTAACTAAATGTCACAATGTTTCTGTCAATGTTTATTTCACAGGACTTTTAACAGACTGGAGAAGTGTTCAGCATATGATACTGTAAACTAACTCCTAGTGAAGAAGTTGTATAAAGCTGTGAAGCTGTGTCAGGGGAGATTTAGGTTASATGTGYAGGTTCTTCACCCAGGGGGTGATGGGGCACTGAAATAGGCTCCCCMAGTAAGTGGTCATAGCCCCCCAGAAATCAAGAAGTGTTTGACAACACTCTCAGGCACAGGGTGTGACTCTTGGGGTGTCCTGTACAGGGCCAGGAGTTTGACTTCGGTGATCCTTATGGTCCCTTCCAACTAAGAATATTATTGATTCTGTCATTCATACTTACGTGATAACCATTTGTTACCTTTAAGAATTAACTTCCCCCCCCCCCCCATGTCTCTGGCACATAAAATAGTGTGGCATCAAAGTAACTGAGATTACAAACATTTTACATCTATTTTTTCTTCAAAATACCTTGTTACCAAAAGGTAGCTTTAAGAAATTGACTTTTAAACCATCATTTCAGTGATGTCTGCTAAGTTTGGATTTCACTTACTCTTTATTATTTTGTTAATGAAAAGCCTAAACTATTTTCTTCCTTTCCATCCTTGTTGTGATCTGATTATGGCAGCTAACTCTCTCTTAATATTATGTCTCATAGGTCTAGTGAGCAGGCTCTTCAACTGATGTATATTTAAGTTCCAGGTTTCTTTGTTCATTTAATGTATTTGTCAAACATATGGCTCAGTTGCTCAGTATTATAAACTATATTTGAGCAGTTTGCCTCTGGGTTTTAGATAGTACCCAGTTTTACACATTTTCTTCTACAGTACATGTGACATGTTTTATGAAAATTAAGACGTAATTTTCAGTGCTACACACATGGTATTTCATAAATACAACTTTTATTGCATCGAGAATGGCTGTATAGACCTCATGTCCAGTTCATTAAGAAGCCAAGATCAGAGAAATAAACATTCCTTTTCCTGTATCACAGAAAGATTTATTTACAGCACATTAGATGTCCATCTCTTTCACACTCCTTTCTTAATTTGTTTACCTAGAGAGACAAAAAAAGGAGAATTTTCATTTTCATTACACTAATCTGGCTTTCTACCTTAAACTTTTTATTTCCTTTTGTTATCTGCATATGTCTTCTGCCTTGAAATTTCACTTGTTACATTTCCCTTAGATAGCTATTTTATTTCACGCTGTATGTGCAGTTATCTTTCTTCAGGCCTTGTTGGTGCTGCTGCTTTCTATGTTATCATTGTTGATCCTTGTCTGTAAGTGTTGGTCCATTTTTCAAAGCCTCTGCCACTTTTTCCTTAACTTTGAATGTTAGGAGTTTTTTTTTTTTGTTTTGTTTTGTTTTTTTTTTTTGTTTTTTTTTTTTTTTTTGTTTTGTTTTTTTTTTGTTTTTTGTGTGTTTTTTTTTGTCCCTCATAAGTCTTCTGACTTTTTATGTTGAAAATTTTGTATAATTACTTGCATAGTTTGATAGTGATACAATCCATGCAAAAGCATCTTTTCCATTTTGAAGTATGATCTGACAGATTTTTTACCTAGAGGAATATATTTTTTACTATGTGATTAAGATACTTTGCATCATGCTAACAAGCTCATCAATTGACTGAGTAACTGATTCAGTAACATTTTTTGCGGAGCTTTTTTCTTCTATCTAAACATAATGTGTGTATTTTTGAAATGATACTCACAATACAATAGGCAAACACATAGTAATCACAGCTTTGTAAAAAAAAAATCCCCAAACTACACTGAAAAATCAAAAACAGTATGAAGTGTCTCCACACTGCCTTCATGTGGATAAAAAAATCTAGCTTTTTGCCACTTAAAGTCCATTTTGTCTTCAGTATGATACCCTGTCTCTGGCTTTGTTGAAACTGAAGGAATTTAAATATTCTTCAKTAATGATAAGGGGTTACAAGGATTAGAAATAATATAGTATAAATCCACAGAAGCTACAGTAGCTTCTTAATAGTATGCATCTTTCTATAAACTTACCTTTCTTTCTTGGGCTGATGAATATAGAAAAGGCAGAACAGGCACTGTGAAAATTGCTGCTTTTCTGAAAGCCTTATTGAGATTTTATAAACTCTCAGGTATTATAACTTCTTACTTGCTTTCAAAAACATTTTCATATTGGTCTCGGGACATATAATTTTTTTTTTCTTTCATGTAATCTTTTTTGTTCCAAAGAACATTTATTCTTATGATTTTTATAARCTTAGCCTGTCTTCTCAGCCCCTTGCATTCATCTGCCTCTCTGCCAACTCATGTTCTGTTAATGTAGGTCAGTGAATCAATGTTGATGGACAAATGTAGAGAGCACAGAATAGTGTTCAGCAGCTTGTTCAATAACTCTTCTGTAATGAGGCAATCCTATATACTTCATGTGTATTAGTTCACTCAGTAATGAGTTAGTGAATGGTATTTTATTAGTGTACTTTCAGTCTCTCTTGACGTGAACTAAGGTTTCGGTTGTCTGTTTCTTTTAAACTATAGGTAGGGAATGGTTTTATTTTGCATTTAATACTTCATTCTCTACCACTAAAGTTCAAGTTTCTTTTCTTTCCCTGACATGAGTTAGTCTATCACTGCTTCTTAGACCTTCTTAATCATATTACTGCTCTTCTGCCCTGTCCTAAATGCGCTATATGCCTGCCTGGAATACTTAATTGACCTAGTTCCCCCACTGACCTTCTAATATTTATGCCTACATAGGACATCCATTCTGATGCGATTAGCAATTTTCCATTCATCAAAGACCTTTCACCTTCTTTTTCTTCCCTTTTTTTTTTTTTTTTTTTTTTTTTTTTTTTTTTTTTTTTTTTTTTT